GCACGACAAGTTCCACAAAGCAGCGACACGTTTAACGCACGCCACTCGGCACACGCGGAACCACGAGTAATCCATCTCCTGTTGCAGCACCTCGAACGCCAGGGTGTGATAATTCCTGATGCATCTTTCGCCCATAATGAAACCGTCGCCAGCGACGAGACGCGAAACACTGACACCGACGCAACGGTACATGGCCCAAGGCGGCGGCTATTTCGAGTGGCGGTTGTGACCGACCACTTTCCCATTGCACATGCGCAGGGGCGGCTCAACGGCTTTGGTGGTATTGGTCGGGGCTACGCGCTGAACAGACTCTTCGAATACACAAATGATCTCTTCCACAGGAAGGCGGTGCAAGTGGTCTTCTTTTATATCGCCGGTCCCCGCAATCCGGCGGACCACTGCTCCCGCAACTTTGGGGTTGACGATGGAACCAGGACAATCTCTTCGCATCCAGCAAACGACTGTCTTGTTCCACTCTTACGAACCACCTTCGGACCGATCTGCAAAGGAAAAAGTGAAGCAGAGAAACCTATGGTCACTGTTGAATACGATGTGGATATGTAATGCCGCAATAAATAAGGCATAAGGGCTAATCGCACACTATGGGGGGACTTTTTTCCACACCCCGAAAGCCGAAGGACGAGCCATAGTAAGCGAAAAATATATCTTATTTTCCCGTTGATAATGTGTTGATGTTCGGTGTTTATCGGCAAACGGTTGCGGTTTGGCGAACCGAACCACTTGTGCAAACACGTTCTTCTTTTCCCTTTTTCTCTACTTCTTAGTAAAACGACATTAGCCGTGCTGAAAGCGTGCTGAGGCACAAGCGTGTCGTAAGCGTAATTTTCTCGTAGAGAAACTGGGTGCACGGGTTGTAAGTAAACAGAAGCACGCAGAGAGTGAGCGAGAATTAATGTGCATATGATTTCGATTCCTTGTATTGCTTGAATGTTGTGAAAACCTTTTCTTGTTTTCTTGTTTCTTATTTCTTTCTTTTAACTATATTCCATTCATGCAATCACAAAGGTTGAACACCTCTAGCTCCTCCAAAAGGTTTGTCGACGGGTTCAGAACTCAAGAACAGTTTTGAAAAGCCCGCCCGCCCGCAACCAAAAAATGATATTTTAAACGTTTTTTCAAAACGAAATTATATGCAAACGAATTATATTTTGAACTCAATAATAATAATAATAATAATAATAATAATAATAATAATAATAATAATAATAATAATAATAATAATCATGGGACTCCTGTAAGCTACGCCTATCCCGGAGGTCTTGGTAGCAGTTCGAGCAGCGAAGATCCCGCAATGAAGAGATTTGTTTTTCATCTTTTTTCATGTTTTTTCTTGATTATGATAAAGGCTGGGACACTGCAAGCTATAACTACCCGCAGGTGACGGAAGCAGTGCAAATCCCGAAAAGGAAAAATGTTTTATTTCTTCGTTTGTTTGATTTTATTATTGAGTTATCTTTGTTGAAGCACCTTTC